TGTTAACTCTGACTTTAAAAAAAAAGTACTAGCAGTTAAGAAGTTAGCCTCTGTAGTTTAATCATTTGCTTTTGAAACCCATACAATGTTTACAGAGGGAGCGGGCTAAGGATGTAGGCACCCAGAGTACTCGACAATGAAGAAAGGGGGAAGGGAACTGTGTAGTAGGGGCAGGGAAGCGGGGGCACTGCCGCATGCTAGGGTTTAAATTGCTCTTTGCAACCACTCCTGGGTGTGTTAGTCTATTTGTTAGGCTGGCACCCATTCTTGCAAGATTGAGAATTACAAAAATCTTGCGTTTGCTATTCCTAGTCCTCGGTCTGATCTGTCTGCTGCACGTGATCAAAGGTGAGGAGGGTTTGTCCCTCACAATTCCCATAAGAACAAAAGGCATTTTCAGGAGTGAGAGCCACACTAGAAGCAACAAGACACAGAATTAACACAACACAAAGGTGAGTTAGATGGATTGAAGGAAGTTTATAACACTGTATAACAATGCAGAAAAAGAGCAGAACCACGAGGAGAAAAGACGCAGGCAGGCAGAGAAAGATGAAGTGGATACTTCAGAGAAGAAAATTGAAGTGAGGTTCTTAAAGAGCACATGTTTGTAATAGATTTTTTTTTCAATAAGAGCATTTTTTTTTCCTCATCAACAACTACAAGGGAGGGTTTGCCCACATTTTCAGCCATTTCTTGCTTTAAAAACAAATGGTTAGCGCCGGGCGTGGTGGCGCACGTCTGTAATCCCAGCACTCAGGAGGCTGAGGCAGGAGGACTGCTGGGAGTTCAAGACCTGCCTGGGCTACAAAGTGAACTCAAGGCCAGCCTGAACTGTATAGGGAGACCCTGTCTCAAAAAGACAAAAAACACAAACAAACAAAAACAAATGGTTTCTTTTGAAGGAAAGGACTTGCAAAGGGACAGTGCAACAGCCCAGCCCTTCATATACAGAATGGGATAAAGTCCAAGGCTGTAAATTAAAACCACACCTATCAAGAAAGAACCCACTATGAACACTCAGTTATAGAGGACTAATCTTAAGGCACAGCACTGAGCAAGTCAGACACAAATGAATATCATGATTCATTTATGTGACGTCCAAAGCAGATAGCTCCATGGAGATGCTGCAGGAGGGCTGCTGACAGCACCGTGGCAGACGGGGAGACTCCAGCCTGGGCTCTGTCATACTGTAGGCAAATGACTGTCTGCCTGAAACTTGAGACATGGCTGGGGTTCCCCCGAGGTAAATTACACGCCCATGAGTTTCCATGTCATCGCATTTACCCCGCCCCCACTGCAGGCGAACTGTCTGGCTGCCAAGGACTCTGCTTTCCATCTCAGCACGTGCGGGGCTTGGCAAGTGTGTTGAATTACTGAGCAAATGGACAGTGGATGTTCACGACCGAATTTATCTACGGCTGGAACTCTGCTGAAGGTGACCACCAGCAGCCAGGCTCTGTGGAGTGTCCTGCTGACCTCGAGGCCTCTGCTGAAGCAGCTGCACTGCACTGTATGAGGCACACTGGCAGCCAACTAGCCACAGAGTGTAGCTGGCTGAACTCCACCTGCCATGAGCAGGTCACATGGGGACGGCTCTCCCAATGGGGCAACTGAAGTGTGTAGTGCCGCTGAAGGGGTGGCACTCCATAGGCACTGAAGTGGAGGCTGGAGATCCTGCAGACCCCTCTGCTTGTCTGATCCCCTCCTGGAATCTTCTCTCAAAAAGCATGTCCACTTATGATCACAGCCAACTGAGGGTTTGTGGAGAACAGTGAGAAAACACATGGGCCTTAGTACCTGAACCCTCGGTTCTGGTCACAGCTGTGGGTTGGACTTCACCAAGCCTCAGTCCATCATCCGAGCCACTCATGTGGTGGGAGACAGCTCCAGCACAGCTCCTGGCAAATCTGAGATCTGAGGACAGGTTGTTTTAGGGACAAGTTAAACACTGAGTCTTTTTTTTTTCTTTTTTCAAGGCTGGGGTTGAACTCAGGGGTGCTCTACCACTGAACTACATCTCCAGCTTTCTTTTCCTTTGGGACAGGGTCTTGCTAAGTTTTCTAGGCTGGCCCGGGGTCCTCCTGCCTCAGCCTTTTGAGTAGCTGGATCTCACTATGTAGTTCAGGCTAGGCTTCAACTGACTATGTAGTCCAAGTTGGCCTCAAACTCACAGTGATCCTCTCGCCTTAGCCTCTCAAGTGCTGGGATTATAGGCATGTGCCAGCACACCCCACTGTCCATTTGTTTTTAAGCGAGAATTGGCTGAAAATATGGGCAAACCCTCCCTTATAGTTGTTGATGGGGAAAAAAATGCTCTTATTGAAAAAGAAATCTGTTATAAACATGTGCTCTTTAAGGACTTCACTTCAATTTTCTTCTCTGAAATCTGGGGCACAGGAGCACAGAGGGTATGGGTGTGGGTGGAGTTGGCAGAGCCTGAGAAGGCTGCACTGAACAATGGAGATGTGGGGATCAGAACCTGTAGCCCACGGGACAAAGGACAAGGCTCCAGAAGGAAGGACTGGGTTCTTATATCCTGGCTCCTGAAAAAGAGCCTGATCATGTCCTTGTCCCTATCACAGTTGAGGCAGGAGGCAAGGTCGCAGTAGGGGTCAGAGCTCCTGCTGCTGGGATGAAGACTTTCTGAAACTCAAGACAGGTTGTGAGGTACAGAAACCCATCTCATCAGGTGCGGGTTGTGCTTAGAGGTTAGTAGTGGCAAATGTAAGGCATATGTTCAGCAGCAGGCTGTTTGTATCACTGAAAGCTCTAAAAGGTTTGCCGTCATCCCGAGAACCTAGATCTTTGCCCCAGGGGCACCCAGGATGGCCCAGGAGACAAGCAGTTAGCTGACGGACCATGGATCCTGCCAGGCAAAGTCCGGAAAGGTGTGACACTTCTGGCCTCAACAGCAGGAGCATTCCTGCCATCCTCCTGCGAATCTGTGGGTACAAATGCTGTGTTCAGATAACGCCCAGACTTAAATCGGTGTGTTGCGATACACCCGAAAAAGCCTTCGGGCAGAAGGCGCCTCAGCCTTTCCAGTGACTTTCCTTCTTCAATTACGGGGGATCATGGCTTGAGGAAGTCACGGCGCGAACGCTGAGGTCTCTCTGAGGTCCCAAAGCCCCAGCCCACCGTCGCGCCGGGGTGAGTCGGACTCCAGCGGACTGCTCTGCGGGCCGGGGAGAAATCGGGGGCCCAAAAGCAAGACCACAGCCACAGAGGCCGGGTCCCGGTAGACAGCAGTAGCACACCCTCATCCGTGCCTAGGATGTCTGGCTACCCGCGTCTCTGCTGACCAGAACCGGAAGCGTTCCGCCCCCGCGCCACAGGGCCCACTCCACGGGCACTTCCGGGCGCTGTAAGAACCCCGAAGGACCTGCTCAGGGTACCCACTGGCTTGTAGGGACGACCCGAGGGACCCACTCGGGGACCAGCGCAGAGACTCCCTCGGGGGCCGGCTCGGGGAGGCTCTGCTCCCGGGCGATCCCGTGGCAGCAGTCCGGCGCAGCTATCCTTAAGCCCAACCCGCCCGGAGCTGTCCGTGGTGCTGGATAGACACTGGGGGTGAGGTGGCCTGTGGACGAGCAAGGGGCCCGTGGAGGCCACAATGGCCTTTGCAAGACAGAGGGACCTGGTTCCACTTCGTCCATCAAGACCTCTGTGTGGGACGCGGTCCAGGAGATATGGCGGCACTGGCCTGGACCGGGGCGAGATGTTATTGTCTGGTGGGAGGCCAGTCCACCCATCCTCCATCCAGCTTGGAGGGACCCAGTGCTTAGAAGGGAGCTGCAGGGGTGGAGGACGGACATGGGCCTCCCATAAACTGTACACGGATCAGACAGGAACCGCTGAGGTGTCTGCCACCATGTGTTTCCAAAGTGAGGGAGCCCTGGTCACAGGTGGGACAACTGGACACAACACTACCTAGTAGGTGAGTAAGTCGTGAGAGATACAGTCAACACTCTCGACAGCCCATTTCATGTCCCAGTAGGAAAGCACTGCTAGCTGCTTTAGGACTGAAATCTCAATCTATTTAAGAGCTTTCAAAACATTGGAAGACCCTCCCACATCATCTTACTATTTAAGAAATGGATTCAGAGCAATGATTAATAACTCATCCATCTCATAGTTAAGTGTACAGCTGGGCTTTAAGTTCTCAAATAGATTCTCTTAGCCATTGAGCCATACCATGTATATTTATGTAAAAGCAAAAACCTGGACACAATGGAAATTTTTAAATTGAAGATGGATCTTGCCCTTTGTTTATCCACAGGTCCAAGTTATAACCCCTGTGAATGCCCCAAAGCAACCCTACTGGTTTTTACTGCATGTTTTCAACAAACTGTAATAGACAAAACCATTGGAATGGTGTTGCTAGCTGCCAGGTAGATATTTTTAGGGGACAATCATCTATGCTTTGAGCAGGTGCTACTCCTTTAAATGACTGTCAAACCTCCTTTAAAGGTTGTTTTTTCAGGGCTGGGGATATAGCTCAGTGGCACAAGCACCTGCCTGGCAAGCACAAGGTCCTGAGTTTGAGTCCCAGTACCAAAAGAAAGTTTGTTTTTTCAGCTAAGACCCACGCCCCCCACAAAAAAACCTTAAAAGAACTCAGCTAAAAATCCCTAAGTGTTTAGTTTTCCTAAACCTTGCTTATTATAATACTAAATTCTCTGTGACTTTTTTTTTTTTTTTTTGTCTTTTTGAGACAGGGTCTCGCTAGTAGTTCAGGCTGGCCTTGAGCTTACTTTGTAGCCCAGGCTGGTCTCGAACTTGCAATGATCCTCCTGGCTCAGCCTCCCAAGTGCTGGGATTACAGGCGTGTGCCACCACGCCCAGCCTCTCTGCAATTATTGAACATGTGAGCAGAATGAACGTGCAATTTTCCCCCCCATATAAACGCGTTTCTCCAATAGCAGTCCCTTATTTCTTTTGCTTAGGGAGACACTGCTTTGAGAATTATGTCTAATGAGCACTTCATTTGTTGTAGTAAGTCTGGTTCTTCATTCTTTTATCTCTTGGTCATGTTTATTGGTTTTATGCTCACCGAAGTGTGAACTCATTACATTTGGTGATAGCCAGACGACAGATCCAAGGATGGGCCTGACTTTGTTATTATCTTAAAGCAAAGCAGGTACACTCCAGACAAGATAACTTCTATTCTAACCCACAAATATGCCTCTTTCTGACCCAAACTGTGGGGTTCCACTGGTCTTGCTGCTGCCCAAGACCACACTTGTGTAAGTTGCCAAGAAATTTTATGCTGCGTGATCCAGGATTCATCTACCTTTCCTTTGTCACTGTCTCCTCAAACCCTAGGATTGGGTTGTTCTGGAACACCCTGACCAAGATTCCCTTCGGTCCCTGGAGGCTGCCTCTGAAGACCTCTTTCTTGCAGGCCCTAGAGTTCAGGGTTCAGTGCCTTGTATGGTCCTTCCCCTTTGTTGTGGCCACCTGGCCACAAGTGGCCTTCTGGTAAGAAGGTGCAAGATATCCTCTTCCACCTCCCTGGGTTGTGGATGGAGTCATTCCAATGGCCCTTTTTATGGAACTCTATACTGGCCACCTTTCTGACTATCACATGCTGACAAACAGGGCCTGTGCCATCCCCTTTTCCAGAGGTGGAAACAGGTTTCATGAAGAAAAAATACCAGACTAGGCAAATGCTGAGCCCAATTTTTGGCTTCTGGAGATCACTCATCTCTAACAAGGCCATGGTCACTGTGGAAGAGAGGCTGAAGACCAAGGACCCAACGTGCAGGGTCAGAGTGTAGCTATCTAGCTAGTAATACTCTAGGTGGCAATGCAGAGCCAGCCTGGGGCTGGCACACTGGGCAGGATGCTTCCTGCAATGTAAAGTGATGCAGGAGGAAGGGCATATCCTGCAAGGAGGAGCGTAGTACAATTGCAGTGCCCTGCTCCTGGGGACTCGGGCTGGTATGAAGTGTCCTGTTTGGCTAGATGCTGACAAGCTCAGGTGGGCAAAAAAGGAAAAGAAAATCCACGAGTCCATGTATGGATCCTGCCAGGCTGTTCTGGGTTCCTGGGAAGGACCCAGTGGACTGGGTAGAATGCTGAAGACTCATACTGAGGCTGGCCCCTGGGAAGGAGCCAAGCACACCGGGGAAGACAAAAAAATACCATCTTGGTGGGTCCTGCCAACAAGGAGAGACTTTCCTGAGGGTTTTAACCCAGTGCAGGGGAGCTGCCTTGCCTGCTGGCAGCCTCTTCTCTGGAACGCCTCTCGTGGTGTGTGCTAGCAGCTGGGGTTTTGGAGTAACACCAGTGAAACTGGTCTCTTTTAGCAGGGTGTTCTAGGGCTACTTCCAGGACAGTCTGGAGTGTGCAGAGAACCTCTGGCTCCTCTCTCAGCTCACCTGCCAGGTCCAGTCACTGTCAACTGAGTCCTGCCTGGGCACCCTCTGGGGGTCCTCACAGAGTCCATCCCAAGTGTGTTACTAAGGGAAAGAGCAGGTGGGCAGCAGCTGCTTCTTTGGAAAACAGCTTGCTTGGGGCTGATGACCATGCTGCAAATTAATCCTGTTTCAGCAGGATTAGTAACCACATAGCCCTCCATAGTATAGGGGAAGTCAGATTTGGAGACCTGGAGAGCAGCTGGGCAGCCCTCCAGCTGACCTGGAGGAGGAGCTGGAACAGGGAGTGTGTTATGACTCCCCCCATACTTAATACTCACTTTCCTCACCCAGGTGAGCTCCTCCCTGCACAGGGGCTGGTTCTCTGCACACTCCAGGGAGAGCTAGAGCTACCTGTAGGACTCCTAGGGCAGATCTATCACACGTTAGAGCTGTGACCTCTATGCAGCCCTGGCTCCTGGCCCCTGGCCCCAGGCTCCCAGCTTCCCAGAACAGGGGCACTCAAGAGGCTGGGCATGGAGAATACTAGATGGGAGATTCTCCCACGGAAGCCTGCTGGCCTTGCTGCCTGCTAAACCAGGGGTGAGAGAGCAAACAGGTCTGAGGGCTGTGGGGGAGAGTGTGCTGTACTTAGGACATAAGAGGCAGCTGTGGGAGGGAGCCCAATTCCCAGAGACCCTCATAGCCAGGGTAGACAGGAGGTCTGGCCAGGCTGCAGATTCAGCCCAGAAGAATGTGGGCACTCTAGGCAAGCCAGTCCTGTCCTCACCCACTGCTCCAGGTGGCCCCCTTGATATCTCCATACCGCAGCATCTCCGATCTGGGCAGGCCTGACTACACTGGGCTGCCAGCACTGATCCTGGCCTTAGGCTCCTGTAGCTGCCTTCCACCCCCAGGGGACTGAAACATCATCCTGCAGTGGCCTGCAGGGATGGGAAGCAGCAGCCTTGCTTAGCAGGAGCCAGCTCCTTTTCCATCCAGACTTTACTGGAGCCACAGCTACTCGCGGTAGTGCACACGCTGGTGCTGGATGAGCTGTGAACTCTGGCCAAAGGCTTTGCCGCAGGCTCCGCAGGTGAAGGGCTTCTCGCCCGTGTGGGTCCGCAGGTGGCGGAAGAAGTGCGAGCGGCCGCGGAAGGCCTTGCCGCAGTCGGCGCACTCATAGGGCTTCTCGCCTGTGTGGATGCGCTGGTGCTCAATGAGCACAGAACTCCAGATGAAGGCTTTGCCGCACTGGCTGCAGGCATACGGCTTTTCGCCCGTGTGCAGCCGCTGGTGGCGCACCAGGTTGGAGCTCTGGCTGAAAGCCTGGCCGCACTCACCACATTTGTAGGGCTTCTCCCCGTTGTGGATTCGCAGGTGCTGTGTGAAGTGTGAGCTGTGGCTGAAGGCACGGCCGCACTGGCCACATTCGTAGGGTTTCTCGCCCGTGTGGATTCGGTGGTGCTGGATGAACCCAGACCAGCCGCGAAAACGCTTGCCGCACTCATGGCAGGCGTAGGGCTTCTCCCCTGTGTGGATGCGCTGGTGCTTCAGTAGCAGAGAGTTGTACTTGAAGCTCTTGCCGCAGGCCTCACAGCGATGTGGCTTGGCGCCCCGTAGGGAGAGCTGTCGGGTACCACGGCCCAAGCTGTCCCCCAGCTCTGCAGCCCGACCAGGGGCACCCTTGGTCCCTGGGGCTCCCTGTGGCAGGAGCACCACATGGCAGGTGCCCCTCTGCTGAGGGCAGGGCAGGACCGCTGTGGGCTCCAATCTAGGGTCTTGCCCAAAGCTGCTCCCACAATTGGGCCTGTGGGGGTGGCTCCTCAGGAGGCCCCTAAGTACTTCGTCATCTGAGTCTACCCTGTCTTCTGGAACACGCAGGTGGTGAGAGGATGGAGCCTGCTCGGGCTCCAACTCAGAGTCTGAAAGGAGAAATGGCAGAAGCAGATGGCACCCAGCTCCCAGTTCTACTGTGGCACTCTAGGGACTGGGACTGTGTGACAGCAGAGCAGCGGCCAAGGCTGACTGGGGATTGGGAAGGAGAGAGGTGCTAGGCAATAGCTTGGCTGAATGGCCCCACAAGGTGGGGAGCAGCCCACCATCACCTGGCAGCCCAAGCCTGCATGCTGGGTCTCACTGGGGACTGGAGACAGTGGTTAAGGAGATCTGCAGTGTCACCTTCTCAGGTGGGAGAAGGAAGCTCCAGGGTTAACAGTGAGGGCCTGCAAGATTCTGGAATTTCAAAGGCTCTCAAAACTGGTCCTGCAGGCTGAGGGGGCTGGGGAGGGAGTCCAGGGGCCTGCGCCTGCTCCAGAGCTCCACAGACCTGGCCTTATGGCAGTGGTACAGTAGTAGCACTCTCTTGCCCACCTGGACCCTCTGGGTGGCAGGTGTGCTCTGCAAACAGGAACCAGAAGGGGTCTAGGTAGTGCTGGGGGTATCCAGCAATCTGCAGACCCTCACCAGCCCCTGTGGGTGTCCAGAGCCTGCTCCTAAGCAGCTCTGGGTGGGCCCAGTTCACTTACCGGGCCATGTGTCTCTGCCGATCTCCACTTCCTCTACATCCTGGAGGTCCAGGTCTGATGGCTGGGGGCACACCTCAGGGCTGGAATAAGGGGACCCTGGGGACAGGCGACTGTGGCTCATGCCCTGTGCTTCAGAGTACCCTTCCCACTCCCCTCCTCTCTAGAACCCAGTTCTCTCATGGGATTCTGGACGAAGCCCTCAACACACAGCATACCTCCTCAGTTTCCCTGCCCCTCCCCTTGCCCCAGAACTTCAGCTCTACTTGGTCCTGCTGTTCTGGCCTCCTTGGCCAGGAGCACCTTTTATTTTCCTCCCCAGTTCATATCAAGAGCTGCCCCCAGGAAGCCCTCCTGAGGACCTGGCTTGAGAGCCCACACTCCCTCAGGTCTTACCCAAAAAGACTGGGCAGTCTTAGGCAGGTCCTCTGCTCACTGTGTTGGCTGTTATCTTGGTGGCTTCTGTCCTGGCCTCCTTTCCACCTCATTGTCCCTCACACTGCCTGTGGTCCTGCACCTACCCCCACTCTGGGCAATGGGCCTGCTGTCCTCCACTGCTCCTATGTCAAGGTACAGCACAGTCCCAGAGGAGCTGTTGCAGGCCCTCAGCACTCTATGGCTAACTATGGCTCCTGATCTTTGTACTGGAGGGGGTCCTGCAAGAAAAGGGGCCATATCCTGTTTGCCCGTGTACCTACCACCAGTGTGGCCTCCCTACGCTGGAGGGAGAGGTCCAGGCTTTGCTGTAGGACACCAGTCTCATGCCCACAGGGACTGCTGAGCACCCTTGGCTCATTTAGTTCGCTGTGCCCTTATTCCTATCCCAGCTGACAGATGGCTCCTCCACCAAAGATACCAGATGCCCAGCTGAAGAGGTTTCTGAAGTGACAGAGTGTGTGTGTGTGTGTGTGTGTGTGTGTGTGTGCGCGCGCGCGCGCGCGCGCGCATGGGTGGTGGGCTCTGCAGATGCTCGGACACACACAGGAGCCCTGGGTAGGCCTCCCCAGAACCTCCTTCTGGCCATCTAAGACTTTGGCCTGGGAGCAGGGAGGCTGAGGCTCCAAGAAGTCCTTTGTTGGCCCACAACTGGTGGGGGACTCTGGGCAGGTTCCAGAAAAGCTGGGGTGTTCTCTGCTAAGGAACCAGCTTGCAGAAGTGAACTTGGGGCTCCGAGAGGAGGCCCTGCCCTTGATTTTTTTGTTGTTTGTTCGTTTTTTTCCAGTACCAGGAATCGAACTCACAACCTTGTGCTTGCCAGGCAGGCGCTGTGCCACTGAGCTAAATCCCCAGCCTCAGGCCCTACCCTTGTTGACCAGGAATCAGCAAAGGCTGCCTACCTATCTGGGTGAGGGTCTCCTCTAGGCCTTGGCAACAGTCTTCCTAACCAGCAACGCCCCCAAAACCCCTACCCTGACTCTACCCTTGCCACTTTATGTTTCTGTTGCCAGCAGGACAGGGAGACCTATCTTACCAGGCCAATGTGAGGGTGTCATAAGAAGGTATTTTGCAGGAGCGGAACTCCGACTGAATAAGGGTCGGGGAGCAAGCCCGAGGGGCATAGCTTGGGTGCCTGAGGTCCAGAAGCCATCAGGGAGGAAAGACAGATAGATGGTGGTAAGGGCAGCCCTACACAGGGCTCTGCAGACAGTGAAACTCAGGTGGTTTTCACTGGGCTCCTTCCACCCCACCCTCCAGTCTGGCCCACTGGGATCTCACTGGGCTACTTCAAGAAGCTCCTTCCCAGCACTCTCCCAGGGATGGGTGGGGGTGGTGTCTTGGAGCCAGGCAGTAGACAGGCTTGGGGCTTCCCTTCTGGCTTTGGTCTGACTTGTGCTGAACCCAGCGATTCCTCTGTCTTGATCTGTGATGTCCTTCCAAAAGGCCGTGACTGGGCTTGAAGCCAAGGAGGTCAATACACAGAGCCTGGCATAGAGTGTAGTCACTCTCCATAGTTCCAGCAGCCACCACCTCAGACACAGGAATACCGGGGTCTGTCAAGCAAGACCCTGCCACAGGGCAGGCCCAGCTCCTGGGCAAAGTGCTCTCTAGAACAACAGTGTAGGCTGCTAGGACATGTTCTATTGCGACCCTATCACCAGCTCATGAGAGCATCCAGGCCTCCTATGTGACAAAGAGGCAAAGCCTCAGGACTCCCTGACTTCTGAGAGCCAGGGGCCCAGGGACACTACAGGGCTGGTATTCCCCCCAAGCCTAGATTCCACCAAGTGACCAATAAGGTCACATCACCAGGGTGGAGCACGGCCTCTTGTGCCATCCTGGCAGGTCCCTTGGGGTCCACACCCAAACCAACCTGGCAAGAATGCTCAACACTCCTCTTGGCCAGGAGGGCTCACTCCTGGTTATACAGGGCCACTCTTCCATCCACCCCCAGGAAGGAACACGCCAGGTGGCTGTCCCCTAGGAAGACTTGACACCCTTCTCCCACCAACCACGGACACCTGGGGCCAACATCCTTAGGCCTCTGGCCAGAGGCTCCAGCATCTAATGAATTGCACAAGTGTCTGGTGGTGCCTCTTAGGTGGGTTGGGCTGTGGATCAGGTGGGGAACCACTGGGTGCAGACAGGACAGAGGGGGCACAGTGGGCCAGGCAAATACCGTGTGGATGCCTATGGAGATGAAGCTGTGCTTCGTGGTGCTGGGCTCCAGGTGTTCCAGGTGATGAGAGACTGGTGGGGAATGGGACAGGTAGGGACTCCTCAATGTCCCCTAGGGCCGCCATCATCCCAACACCTGCGGAAGGCGTACGCACCTGGAACCTGGGGAAAATGAAAACCAAGGCAGATGAGGGGTGGAGATGCCAGGGTGGGGGGACAACACTCCAGTTTCCCAGTAACCCCAGGGACCAGAAGGCTCTTCCTAGGGTGGCAGGGGTAAGCACAAGTGAATACACGGGGAAGAGTGGGGCTTAGGTAGGCATGGGAGATGATTCCAACACCTGGCACGCTTCCTGACCCCGATCTAGTTTGTCAGCAAAGGATCCCGAATGTCCTTCCAACCCACGGCCTCATCCACAGGAAAAAGCATGCCAGTTCTTTCAGAAAAATCTCCTGTACCCAGTTGGGGAGTCCTGTGTCTGGGGGAGGGTGAAGAGCTGAACTATGCCCGCTGGAGCATGAAGTTCTAGATTTAATCTTAACGAGGGTCTTCTTGCAAGTAGAGAGAGACATTTACAGAAGGGAGAGCCCGAGGCTTCAGGCTCTAAGCCCCAATGCCAGCCTATTTACTGCACCCACAGGCTCGTTTGGGGGTCAAAAACACTATTCCTTAATTTGTTTTGTACAAATATCTTGAGTCCAGTGTGAGAAGAGGATTTCTTTCACACTGTAGTAGAGGGAGAAAAGACAGCAGCTAACGGGCACTCGGCGAGGTGGAAACAGCACAGCTCCGAAGAGAGGGGAGTGGCGGTTCAGGGTGGCACCGCGGAGCCAGGTCCAGCGACCACAGGCTGCGGGCGTGGCACCGGATGTAAGCGCTTAACCCGCGCCCCTGCAGGTGGCGACCCCTGGCCCGGCCACCGTAGACACGCCCAGGGTCCACGCGCGCCCGCCCGGCCAGCACTGCTCGGCCCTCCTCTCCGCTCGACGCCACCAAGGCCCTATCTCGGGGTCTGCTCGCCAGCGTGCCTCGGCCTGTCTCGGTCCCACGGGAGGGGGACTGCGGTGGCCCCGAGCGAGGCGCCCCGCAGACACACTGCGGGTGCCGGGCCAGCCAAGGCCACGGCGAGGGGGATGCGCGCGGCCGGCCAGCCGGGCCGCATCGCGGGGCACCGCACTAGCCGGGAAGAACCGGAACCCACTCACCTGCCGAGCGGGAGGCGGCCGCCCGCACGCCGGGCGGAAGTGCCCCGTCCGCTGGCCAGCCCAGCCTCGCGCGCTTCCGGGACGCTCTGGGCGCCGGAGTACCGCGCCTCGGTGGCCTTCGCGACCACCTGCACTTTATGGGCTAGCATGCACCTCGCAATTCGGGTCGCGGCACCTCCTTGTGGGAGCGGAATGGGCTCGGGCAGGCTCTCTTCCTTCGGAGACCTCTGGGGTCTGGAGCGCTCCCGAACCCACCAGGGTCCGTTGGTTTCCGCTGCATAGAAAACTTGAGACAAAATAGGATCTTCCCATGGATCCGGTTGAGTGCGGGAGAGCGAGCTGTAGATTGCATTCCCTATCCTCTCTGCTAAGTGACACGGAGCCTGGGGCCTTGGTCAGCCCTTTCCCTGGGGGCTGCCCTTTAATGCCCCGAGAAGCCTGCGCGGGCTCCAGCTGGACACTGGGTTAGCTTTGCAGTTGGCAAATAGAAGTGAACACAGCAGAAGTGTCTGGGCTGGCCAGGAGCCCAGGAGGGGCCTCCAGCCAGGACGCTGCTGGTTTGCTGTATCTATCAAGGGAGAGCCGTGCAGGTGGAAGCCGGGTCCAGCCTCTGCTCTGCTTAGGGCTGGGGCTGCCCCTGGACCCAGTGGATCATAAACCTGAGGGCTGACTCCAGGAGTAAAGGAAATCTCTAGATACTAAGTAGTTACCAGGCCTTAGCACAAAGTTTTCCTTGGCAGGGCAGTGGATTTCCTGAATCTACTGGGAGGTCCTACGGGTCCGACGGGGAGGGGCGGGGCCGGCTCCTGAACACACATACCTGGCCTTGGCTTTCCAGGATGGGGGTTGTACCCAGAAGACCTTGTTCCCAAACTCGAGCGTTACTGCTGAGTGGGGCACCTGGAGGGCTGGGCCAAGCTACTAGCAGGCTTTGGGGGTGAGGGAGGATGGTGGGAAGAAGCCAAATCAGGGAAAGTTTTGAACATGAGTCATCACAATATGTATTTTGTATTTAATGGAACTGGGAAACATTTTATGCAGACTCAGGATTTTTCTTGGATATTCACAGTGACTACAAAGTTTTTCTACACTAGAGGCTTAAAAATCGATGGCCCTGAATCCCATTGAGCTCACAACCCTGTTTTATTTGGATTACATTTTTTGTTTTGAGACAGGATCTCACTGCCTAGTCCAGGCTGGTTTGAATTTGTGGCTATCCTTCAGCTTCCTAAGTGCTGGGATTACAAGTGTGTAAAAAATTCTAAGATTATATGAAGGATATGTCCAGAAAGAGCTCATCTGTAATTTTTTTCTCAGCTGTAATTTATAGAAAAACTCTCTTGCCAGGTTTGGTGGCACACTGCCTGTCATCCCAGCATTTGGGAGGCTGAGGCAGGAGGATTGCCAAGAGTTGGAAGTAAAAAAGCTGGGTCCTTTTGTTTTTGCAGGGCTGGGGATCTGAGCCCACAATCTGTACATGCTAGGCAAGTGTTCTGCCACTGAGCTGCACCCCTGGGCCTTTTGTTGCCATCAGAACATATGTATCTCAGAGGTGCTTTTTTGGGAGAGGGGGTGCTGGGGCTCAAATCCAGGGCCTTGAGCTTGCTAGGCTAAATGTTCTACCACCCAGCCATACCCCTAGTCCAAATGTTTTTTTTTGAAACAGGGTCCTGTTATGTTGCCCAGAATGGGTTTGGAATCATGAGCTCAAGTGATCCTCCTGCCTCAGCCTGTTGATGGATGTGTATTTAAAAATCAGTCTCAGGCTATGGAGAATTGGGATTAGAAAAAGGGCAAAATATGGGTTAAAACCACAGAAACATGCAGATGACTTATCTTCTAAAATCTCCGAAGTTTCTTATGCTGTTCTATGTGCCTGTGAGTGATGTTTCAGTTGCTGACTTAATTTTCTAGGTCTAACTCAGCATCCCCGACCTGTGGCTGGGCTGACTTTGGGAACTGTTTGCTGTCAGGACTGCCTGTGTGTTGTAGGATGTTTGGCAGAACCCCTGGCTTGACCCACTGGGTCCTCCTAGCTGTGATAATGTTATCCTCGCACATTGCCAAGTGTCCTCTGGGGGACAGGACTGCTCCTTGTGAAGAACACAAAGTGTAGCCGCATGTGGTGGTGCAGGCCTGTAATCCCAGAACTCAGGAGGCTGAGGCAAAAGGATTGCCATGAGTTTGAGGCCAGCCTGGGCTGCATACTGAGACCCTGTCTCAAAAAAAAAAAAAAAAAAAAAAAAAAAAAATCCAAACAAACAAAAAGCAAAAAAAAAAGGTGAGTAAGCAAAGGCATAGAAGCCAGGACAAGACGTTGCGCAGGGTCTGAGGGCAGAGTCCAGGACGCCTCCCAGGCCTCCCTCAGGATCCTGACTGCAGGCATGAATCAACAGGTCCAACCCCAACTTAATGTCCCTGGGGCCAGAAAAGCAGGGAGGTGTTTAGTCACTGGAAAAGGGGTGTGAGTTTGGTTAGTGGAGCATCCTGAGACACTCACTGGAGAATGAAGTGCCCATACTGTTTTGGGGAGGAAGTTGGTAGCCTTCTTGGGGGACTCTTGAGTGCACCCCCAGACTGCAGGGGCTCAGTGGAACACAGGAGATGGGTCAGAAATAGAATTTTACTCTGAGAAAATAGACATCCATAAGCAGCAGGAAAAATGAGTGCTGTGAGTCACTTCAGGCAGTGTGGAGATCTGCACAGCAATCCACAGGATAAGGGAACCACACACAGAGTGGCACCAATGCCAAAGACAAATGGACTGTCCCAGTGTTGAGGCTACAAAGGGCTAAAGGTATTCTATGTAAGTAAAAGTGTAACAACTTTGGCCAACTGGAAAGTTAAATTTCTGGACAATGTAAATGGGAAACATCACACTAGGGAAGTATCTGGCACCATACAAGAGACCATAACCATGGCTGTCAAAGGTTGTTCACAATGCATCAGTCACTGCAGTTCATAAGGGCAGGACACATGTCCAATGACATGATGTAAGGACAGCCAAGGCTTCAGCTGGATCAGGAGCTAGAACCTCAGGAAGCAGAGGACAGAGACACCACCCATCTTGACAGGGTTGAGGCGGGGCATGGACAGGTGCCTGGGCCCACAGGCACCAGGAACCCTCTGCAGGCCCCAGAGCTCCTTCCCTGGAGGTGCAGTGCAACGTTGCCAACCTGGATGTCACTACAGCAAGGTGTGGTTAAGGTGAAAATCTGCTTGTCCTCGGTGCACTGACCATGCAGCTGGTGAGTGAGGAAATCAGGCAAGAGCAAACAAGCTCTTGAGGCACCAGGTTCTAGAAGGCTCAGACTGATGCTCAGAGCAGTATCCCAGCCTACAGCTGACCTATGGCACAGGGCCCAGTTCCTTGTCCACACTACCTCTGAAGTCTACACCATCCTCTGTTGAGTCTCCCCAGGAGCCACGCACCATGTGCACCTTGGGCCAGGAGGCCCCTCCCTCCTCCAGGCCTGTCTGCCTCTGTAGTGTGTCTTGATGTCTCAGCTCAATCTCACCGAAAAGGAACATTATGTCTTGGTGCCCAAATTGGGAGGGACTGGTGAGGTCATTAGAAATGAAGCTCAGGTCATTCCTGGGGTCACAGCTGGCCAGGAAATGATGGACCCAGCCTGGCCATGTCTAAGCCACTGGTGAGCCCTGTCCCTCTCTGCACAGAAGAGGACTCAGAGGGCAGACAAAGGCCCTGCCCCTGTGGAGCTAGGTTTGTGTCCCTGAGATGTTTGTCCTGTGGGGCAGAGCGCCCCTCTCCAACATGCTCACCTCCTGCTTCTCCCCACAGATGGTTTCTGCCTTCTTGCCCAACTGGGATGAGGGCTCAGGGACACATGCAAGTGAGGATCACAAAGCACTTGTTTGAGGGACACTCAACGTCTGATCTCTGGCAGAGATGCTCTGCAAGTGATGCCCGGTTGCAGCCCCGCTGGCCAGTGCTCTTCTTGTAGGATGAGGCCCTGGGAGACAGTGCCTGCTGGACATGCAGTTGGACATGTGTTGCCCAGGTGAGAGGTCCTGGCCTCTGTGGATGCCTCAGACTCATAGGAAGGTTCCAGCTTTGGTTTAACATTTTCCTGCAACAAGAACTCTGATGCTTGGTTGAGGGGGTCTTAGGTTTGCCCTTGGACACATCTTAGATATCCAGAAGGTTGTGAACATTGAGTGGGTTTCTTAACCACCTCTGCATGGTGGCCTCACTGAAGTCAGAAGCTAGTGCTGGGGATCTCCAGTGGCACTGGCTGATAGTGAGGACTGCCGGTCACTTAGAACAGTTGGTTTGGGAACCAGAGAAAGGGCCCTGCAGCTGTCCCACTGTGTTTGAAGGACCTCCCTGCACTCACTCTGTCCTGCCACCAAGCTGACCCCACAATGACAGCCGTTAGGGGTGCAAGGCCCCAGCAGCCTCTTTGCTGCATCTTCTGCCTGAGGAACTGCACGTGGACAGTGATCCTCTCTGCTCCTTCCTTGAACACAGGATCACGGAGGTTTTTTCCCACTGCTTTCAAGGTTCCTTTGTATGTACGTCCTGCCAGAGCTTCTGGTTGGGGTGATCCACTCTAGCAGTCTGGAAAGAAAAAGAAACTGTGTCAGTGGGCACAGGTGCTTTTCCTCGGTTAGGAGAAAGCAAGCAAATGGCCTCAGCCAGGTGGAAGCTGGTCCCACCAGTGACCTTGGCCACAGGGTGCCCTCAAGAAGAGGTAGAAGCGTGGACCCAGTCAACAATCAAGGGAAATGTGCTACGTCTAAACCCTGAGGTCAGGAGCTGCATCAAACATTTGTAAGCTTGTAGAAGACCACCACGGCAGAGCTGACTTCCGTCCCCACCTAGCCAGGAGCTGCATATCTTCCTGCTCTCACCCAGCTGCACAGGTTCTTTTGCTTTTCTTAGCTTTACCAGGTATGTGTTCCAACAGCATGCTGCTCAATCTGCTTGAGTGGTTGAAACTCAAAACAGTGGTTACAACCCCACTGAACGTCTTCTCTGCTCAGCGTCCTATCTGTTGGCGCATGTTGTAGCTGCTCTCTTGTCCTTTCTGAGTCACTTTCCCTTTGCCTGCAAGCCAGGACTAACTACTCTACCTTGATGGACACTTGGTTCCTTCATGTTCCCCAGCAGCACACTCTATGCACATCTTGTTGGTGCATGTATCAAAGTTCCTCAAGGATGAACCAGTGAGTGAGGCTTCTGGGTTAACAGGGAATCAGATCTTTGACCTGCTGTAGAGCACCAGACTGTTTTACCAGAGTAGAGCTCCTCAGCTCAGATTCTCCCATGTGTACAAGGATCAGACCTGTCCATTTCATCATGCTCTCAGGCAAAATAATTCCATCTCGTTATTTTAATTTGTATTCTTAATTACTAGTGAGATTGAACATTTTTTTAGGAACTTATAAGCTATTCATATTTTCTTCTGTGAAATCTTTGTCTATTTGGCAAATGCTTTTTTTTAAAAAAAGGATTTCTATTGGTGTGCAGTAGTGGATGCCTGTAATCTCAGCTACTTAGATGGCTAAGGCAGGAGGACTGCAAAATAGAGGCCAGCGCGGATAAATTACTGAGACCTTGTCTCAAAATAAAAAGGTGGAGGATTTCAGTACTCTTCAGAGCTGAGGCAGGGGGACTGCAAGTTCAAGCCTAGCCTGGGCAACTTAATGATTTAGCAAAACCCTATCTCAAAAAAAGGATGAGGATGTAGTTCAGTGCGGAGGCCCTGGGTTCAATCCCCAGTACCTCAAAGGGGGATTGGTGGCTGGGGATGTAGTTCAGTAGTAGAGCACTGGGATCAATCCCAAGTATTACAAAAAACAAAACAAACAGAAAAACAGCAGCAGCAACAAACCCATTGGATTCCTCTAGGCTCTTCATATTGGAATACCAGTCACTTGCTGCTATGGTGGTGAGAATAACCTGGCATGAAGACCAACAGCCCCCAGATGGTCTCAGTACAGCAGATACTTGCTTCTTACCTCGTGAAGAGGTCTTGGGCTCTTCACAGGTGCCTTTGGCCCTTGGCTCCTTTCTTTGGTATGTGGCGCTGCCATCTCCAAGTCCTCTTTTAGGAAGGGAGGGGAAGGTGGGATTACAGAACCTTCCAGGAGACTGGCTGTCCACAGGTGTGGAGTAGGCAGCCATTGTGTGTGTCCAAAGGTTAAAAAAAGCAATTTTATGATCCCAAGGCACATGTTCTGCTATAGCCAGCTCTTGGACCACAATGTCATTTCCCTGGTGGCCACCTATCTTTTCATTCTTTTGGTGAGCAGAAGTTGTGATCTTTTTTTTTTTTTTTGGTACTGGGAATCAAACTTATGACCTCAGCCCTGCCAGGCAAGCGCTTACGCCACTGAGCTATATCCCTGTCCCCTTTTTTTTGTCTTTTTGAGACTGGGTCTCACTATGCAGTTCAGGCTGGCCTTGAGCTCACTTTGTAGCCCAGGCTGGTCTCGAACTTGCAACGATCCTCCTGCCTCAGCCTCCCAAGTGCTGGGATCATAGGTGTGCACCACCACACCCAGCTGTGATTTTTAAAAATTTTTATTTCAAACCTCTTTTGTAAGATAACTAACCTCATTCACGAGGGTTTTTAAGTTTTTATTAATACAATACATGTTTGCAGTACATAATAATTACACTCATTATGGGAGGTTAGTAATGTACATAACACATCTCAATCCTTTTTACATCCCCTTCCTTTCCCTAGAATTTGTGAATTTTATTTTTTATTTAATGTATGTATGTATGTATGTATGTATGTATGTATGTATGTACTGGGAATGGAACTCAGGACCTTGCAATTGCCAGGCAGGTGCTTATGTGACTGAGCTATATCCCTGGCCCATGTTGTGAATTTTAGTATGATGGAAATAATCAACTTTTTATGCATTCAGGAGGCTGAGGCAGGAGAACTGCTTTGAATTTGAGGTCAGTCTTGGCTACATAGTGAGTTCAAGGCCAGCAGAACTATATAGTGAGATCATGCCTCAAAAAAAAAAAACCTATCAACTTTTTCCTTTGTATTTTTAAATGCCATTCATTCATTCATTCATTCATTCCTGGGGACTGAACCAAGAGCCTTGTGCATGCTAGGCAATTACTCCACTGACAAACTCCATTCCCACCACCTTGAGATACAATCCTGCTAACTTATACAGGCAGGCTTTGAACCTGAAATCTTCCTGCCTCAGCCGCTCAAGTGGCTGGGGTTACAGGTTTTTGCCACTATTCTACCTTTTCTCTCCACACACTTGCCTCCTCTCAGGGTCTCACATATAAATGGACTCATGCAGCACTTGTCCTGTGTCTGGCTTATTTCACTAAGAATCATGTTTTCATGATTTATCTATGAATCGAAATTTCCCTGTCTTACTGGCCAGTGGCACATTCTTGCGTATTCTCTGCATGTTGTGCATGTGTTCATCTGCTTTACCATCACCAAACAACGCTGCTGTCAGAATCCATGCACAGGTCTCCATTTGAGTCTCTGCTTCTGATTCTCTTAGGTATGTCTCAAATGACTTTTGTACATTCATCTATGTAACAATCTTACCAACTCCCTAATAATTTCAATAGCTTGTGACTTTGAGATTCCTACTTAGCCAGTAACATCATCTGCTAATCATGACAATTAGGGTTTTCCACTCTAAGCTTACATAGATTAGCCCTGTCTTACTGCACAGGCTAGAGCCTCCAAGACAACACTGATTTTAGCTACAGTGTTTTCTGCAGCTGAAACAGTAAGGTGTTCCTTTCCCCCTGTAGTGTACTGATGTGGTAAGTTATATCAATCTGGAGCCAAACATGGCTTCCTAAATAAGCCTGATCTGTTTAGCTGTCTTGTTTTTATTATGCTCTGCTGAATACGATTTGCTGGTGTTTTGTTTAGGACTTTTGGATCTATGTGCATGAGTCATACTGAGCCGTAATTTGGATTTCAAAGTCATACTTGCTCCCTAAAATAAGGGAGTGTTTTCTGTTCTCTGAGTCACATGCTCACATATAACTAGAGCTGCTGTTTCTTGAACAGATTGTATTTGTCTGGACTTGATGTTTTTTCAGAAAGACTAAACTATCCACTGTAAGGGTCCGTGAGTGTCCTGGGGCTCTTTACGCTACTCTCCTTGAGTTACTTTCTCTCCCTTCTCACTCCTGTTGTTTTGTTTGCTTTTCCTCCGTTATTTGGGCGAGGATGTCCATTTTAATAGTCCTTCTTTTTTTTTTTTTGTCTTTTTGAGACAGGGTCTCGCTATGCAGTTCAGGATGGCCTTGAGCTTACTTTGTAGCCCAGGCTGGTCTTGAACTCTCAACGATCCTCCTGCCTCAGCCTCCTGAGTGCTGGGATTATAGGCGTGTAACACCAAGCCCAGCTTTTAATAGTCCTTTCAAAGTCTTTTTAGATTTTTACCCTCTCAGTGGTTTCTATTCCCATTGGCTATATTCATTCCTGCTTTCTAGTCTGGGCTTATGTTCTTTTCTGTATCTCAGTCAGGCATTCAGCTTGCTGGTTTGGGGCTCTTCTGCAGTGACCAAGCACACATGCCATCAGTTCTGTTGGCTGCACTGACCCAGCAGTCCTGGTGAGTGGCACCACTACTGAGCTTTGAGTTCCCTAGAACTTTCAATGTGTTTTGTCTTCAACTCAGGTCATTCAGGTTTTCTTTTTCCTGGCAAGTGAATTCCATTTAAACAACAAAACACCAAATGCTGTGGACCTAAAAGGCATGGTGCTAGTACTGTGACATTATGATGGTCATCTTGGAAGAAATGGGAAATGAGCCACTCAGCACCAAAAGGGCGACAGCAAGAGATGGATGGCAGGCTGAGTCTAGTTTGGCTGTGCAGGTTTTTGTTTTATTTTTTCCAGATGGGGTCCTGCTTTGTAGTTCAGGCTGGCCTTGAACTCACTATGTTGCTCAGGCTGGCCTTGAACTTCTGGTGATTCTCTTGCCTCAGCGTCCCAAGTGCTGAGATTACAGGCATGCGCTACCATGCCTGGCTAGTTGTGCAGTTTTTCTCAGAATCATGAACTATATATACATAAATACACACACGTTTTTAATTTCCTGGTGCATTAAAAAAAAATCTTTTTGCTGTTTTCCATGCTTGTTCAGTTGAATTCAGTTTCAGCCTTTTCCCAGAAGCACTCTGGGTCTCAAGTATTTGGTCTCATTAAGAATATGTGACTCAGTGGTACAGACCCTGGGTTTATCCCCAGTACAGCCAAAAAAAGAAAAAAAAAGAAAAAAAGAAAAACAATGTGAACACGTGAGAAGCGCTAACATTTGCTTTTTGCTTTTTTAACAATTTATTTGTTTTTGACACAGGGTCTCACTATGTAGTTCAGGCTGTCTTGGAACGTACTAAGCAGCCCAGGCTTTGATCTTCCTGCTTCAGCCTCCTGAGTGCTGGATTATAGGCATGTGCCACTGCGCTGGCATTTGTTAAACCATCAGTATGAACCAGTACTGTACTGAGACCATCACGTATCAAGATCCTGAGTTCTCAGTGGTCTTAGAGTACTGAGCATTGTCAGTATCTTACTTTACATCTGAGGAAACTGGGGCACAAGGCAGCTCAGTGATGCACCTAAGGGCCCACAGCTACCAGGGCAGAGGCCAAGTAGGTGATTTCGGGTGGCAGGGCTTGTGCTCGCCACCATCCACTTCCTCCCCAGAAATTAAGGGCATTAGATTAAAACACATATCTTTTCCCTCAGTGAACGGGTAAAAGAAAGACCCCACCTACCAGGTGCTGGAGGGCCACGGAGCCACCCGCGGTCTGTGCACTGCTGCAGGTGTCTGTGCAGCCCAGTATGGGGCAGGTATTTAGCATTATGGCATTCCATGTCTTGGGCTTGTCCTATTGGTCCTAACTGTTGAAAAGACATTTATTGTGGCATTATTTATAACAGTATACATCAGAAACATCCAAGGTGTCCAGCTTCAACAACGGTTAGATTGGCCCCAACTTTTCTAATCGATGGCTCATTGTGCACTCATTAAAAGGGACATTTCCTACTGGTAAAACGAAAAAGTTATTGCAATACTACAGTAATTCAATTAAAAACAAATTCAGAAAAAAAATACAAACAAATTCAGATACCCTTAGGGCATGTGTGAGTGCTCTGCGCTGTGTCCACACCATTATCCTCCCACATCAAATAGCAGAGGATATGCTCTGAGCAGTCTTTGCCACTGGCGGCTCCATCCACTTCTGCATCTAGGACTCCTGGCTTCCTGGACAAATTTACTTTTGGAGGACTTTAAGACCCGTAGAAAGCTCGCAAAGAATAGGCTTGCAAGTTCCCTGTAGCCTGAACTCTCACACACCCTTTGCATGGACAGGGGTTGGCAAACTCTGACTACTGCCTAGTTCTGTGAAGCCTTTTTTTTTTTTCTTTCTTTTTTTCCAGTACCGGGAATCAACTTAGGACCTTGCCAGGCAGGCGCTTGTACCACTGAGCTATATTGCCGGCACTAGTTTTGTGAAGTTTACTTGGTTCACGGTCATGCTCATTTGTCCGGTGTCATCTATACCCGCTGTTTCACCACACGGTGGAGTTGGGTTGCTCAGAAAGACTGCACAGCTACAAAGCCAAGGACATTTTCTATCTGGCCTTTTACAGAAAACATCTGCCAGCGTCTGATCTAGGTCTATGAGGGACTGACCCTTGGCCAATCTGCTACGTGGCTCATTCAGGGTACATATATTTTTGCTACAGTTTTTTGCTCAACATTTGAAAGTAAACTGTGCCCCTAAAAATATTATGTACCCACCGCTGAAAATCTTATCATGTATCATTAGTAACCAGCACCTGAGCCAGGAGGCCAGGACCCCCGAGGTACCGATGCCGCCCTGCCAACTAGTGGGCAGTTATGCTCTAGGTTCCAGCTGTACCAGCAACGTGGGCAGCTCTTCCAACCCAGACCCCCACCCAGTGTTAGTACATGTGCCTGTCTCCAACACCAGCTGACATCTGCCTTTGCATAATTTTGCCTCATTAAATCTCCATTTCTGAGACTCTAAGGTTTTTTTCTCTTGGGGAGAGCAGTCCTAGGTGACCCAGCATGGGTAGAACAAGATGATCCCAACAGCACCTGAACAAGTAGATCCCAGGGTGGGAGGTCCTCCACCTGGAATATCTTTCCCTGTGGAAGATGGTGGGTGCCTGAAGTCCTCCTGCCAGTGCAGGTGATGCCATTGAGGTTCCCCCTAAAGGTGCAGGTGGTACCCCGGTCTCTCTGGAGCAGTCAGCTGACTGCAGCCAGGGAAATCTGGCCTGAGAATATTCTAAGGACTTGAGGTGCTATTCTATGGGGTAAGACCTGGAAGGTGATAGGCTGGGGTCTGGGGCCTTCTCCTATAGAGAGTTAACCAGGCCAGGGGCTAAACTCCTGTACCAGATTTTCATTTGGTTTGGGGACTTACATGAATTTTATTTTCCTATTCTAGGCTGTGTGTGTGTGTGTGTGTGTGTGTGTGTGTGTGTGTGTGTGTACAGTACAGAGAGACTTACCTGGAAAATGGGCTCAAGGGAGCAGGGATCTGAATGCCTCTTCACAAGACAGCCACTGGCAATGCTTCAGGCTCCTATCAGCCACAAGGGGCTCCTTGGGCCACTGGCCAATGTGTGGTCAGGGAGGAAAGGTGTACTTCGCAGGCAGAGCTGTGAACACAGGGATGAGAGTGTTCTTGGTGGATGGAAGGAGGCTTGCTTTGGGCCACTCAAGGATGGCGGCCTCACAACTTGTGACACAATGATGAGCTGGTTGGGGCCACCCATGCAGGGGTAATTAATAGTATAGCTTTTAGGAAGATTCCAACAGGAATGGACACTGGATAAGACATTTCCACAGGGACGGTGACCACACTTGATCTTTCTGGACAACCCCCTCCCCCTATTTCCCAGTTTCTGACTACCTGATGAACAAGCCCATCTGCAGCCAGGGACCCTTATTTTAGGGCTGAGTCCCTGAAGACTAAGGCCACTATTAATTTGTGTTCTAACAGTTGAAAACAGGTGCCAACACTTTCCCAATAAAAGCCTCCTGGTCAGCAAAGTTACTTTGCTACTCTCTTGCAAACTAGTACCCAAGGGCAGAGTCCCATCCAGATCACTCTTGGGACACTGAGCACAAGCACAGCCATGTGAACTTGCTTTGGGCTAGGGAGGACTTGGGGACAGACAGGGAAGTGGTACTAACCTGAGTGGAGGGCCACCGGTGGGCAGGGCCACTGTTATGTCTTTAGCTCAAGTGAATCAAAGCTGACAATGGTGCTGTTGATGACAACTGGGCCCCACTGCATGTCTGGGGAAGGAATCTCCCATGGTGGCAGTGTTCAAGGGCATACAGGGCCTATTTCTGATGAGACCATCCAGGAGAGTCAGGCTGTCCGTTTGAGATGACAGCCAGGACAGGAGGGCACACAATATGGCCCAGTTCTGGGGACAAGGCCTGAACTCAGGGAATGGTGATCCAGCCCAAGGACAGAAGCCAGCTATGTAAGGACAAGTGAGAGCTGGTGCCACCCAGTGGGTACTCGGGTCCACTGAGCTGGCCAGAGCGCTGTGATCCAGCTTGAGGTCCTCAGTGCCTTCTCAGCTGCAGGGGGCTGGGCTCAGAGACCCAGGGAGCCGAGTGTCATAGACTGGAGTCTGCAGATGTGCTGGTGGAAGGACTGATGCAGAAGACACTGGGCCCTCACCAGCAATAGGTGCTGCTCCTGCTGGGTGTTGCTCTGTTTCAAGGCTTGTGCTGTGTGTCTCTGGTGCTGAGCCCGAGTGGCATGAAGTATCTTAGAAAATGAGTAGCTACAGTGTTATCTATACTGTGTCTTGGTACAGAGATTTCCCGGGCTGGGTCAGTTGCTCACGTCTCGCAGGGGGATTTTCCTGGTGATGACAGAACCAGGCAGCCACAGGCACACCTGGTACATTGTACCTGACCCCCGCGGCTTCCGTGAATGAGAGAAGCCATGGTGCATCGGCACAAACTCAGAGCGCCAAAGGCCGCTGACTGCTTAGTGCTTCTTCCTCGGGTGGCGCTTCCGGTGGCGGATGAGACAGGAGCTATAGGCGAAGGCTTTTCCACACTCCTCACACTCATAGGGCTTCTCGCCTGTGTGTGTTTTCTGGTGTTTCAGGAGGTTGGAGCCGCAGTTAAAGGCCTTCCCGCACTCCCCACATTTAAAGGGTTTCTCACCAGTGTGGATTCTCTGGTGTTTAGTGACATCAGAACTGTGCCGAAACGTCTTCCCACACTCATCGCACTTAAAGGGCTTTTCTCCCGTGTGAACTCTCTGATGGCGAACGTGATCTGTCTTGTGCTTAAATATTCGTCCACATTCACTGCACTCAAAGGGTTTCTTCCTCTGAAAGGGAACAAACACAGGGACCCCCTCAAAGTCATCTTTAAATGAGGCATCGAAGGCATCAAAAAGATGTGCCTCATCCTCAGGGCTCAGAGTTGGCTCTCTGCGATGTTTTCTGGCCCGTGCACGTCTCCTGTTTGGCCTTTTCGCACTTGATGCTTTCTCTTCTTTGAGAGTGGCCTCTTGTACAACTGCTTCCTCTTTTGGGGCCTGAGTTGTCTTCTTCCTGCTTGCAGGCTTTTCCATCACCGATCCTGGGAGTCAGGAAGCACTCTGGAAGCCAAGGAGGGCCGAGGGCTTGAGGTCATGGGTTTCCTGATCCTTCTCTTAACTCTAGTCCTGCAGGGGTGGCTTGCCACGTCCTGCGTGTGCAGCTGAAGCTCTGCTCCAGGAAAATGGCAGCTGTTCTCTTGCTCCTGGAAAGGCAGGAGGGGGACACCACATCAAATGTGCCTTCAGAGCTGCACCTTGCTAGACTCCTCAGTTACCCCTCATTCACCCTTTCCCAGCTTCATCTCAGTGAGTGACACTGTCAATCATCAACCGGCTGGGTACTCTCCTCCTATGGTAATGGAGAGGGTCTCCACCCATGTCCAGTAGGACGCCGCGTGTACTGTGCATCAACAGCTGCCACCTGGCTTTTGCTTCTTCACTTCCCCAAACTGACCCTTTCTTACTCCCCCACTTGCTCAGACTGAGATCAGTTGGTGTACGCTGATGCTATGGGTTGTGGGAGGTGCACTTATCACTCACAGCCTGGTCCTGCCCTGGATGGAACTGCTTCTTACTGGACCAGAGCTGACAGCAAAGCCCACCCTTCTCATCCTTGCTCAAAGGGGAGAGGCTTTCCCTCACACTGACAAGCCCAATACACCCCAGCCCTCTCCCTGCCCTCATTCTGGCCAGCTTTAGGGCCTCCAAACATGCACAACTGCTTCCTGCTTCTAGAGGTCTGCACAGAGCTGGCCCCAGCCCTGCAGAGCTGTACTCTGATGGCCCCTATTAGCCCTACACACTTCTTCCCTTAGCTTGTCCCATGTTCCCTCCTTATTTACCCATCTAAACTTCTTTTTATCTCCCAGTGCCAGGGATCAAACCTAAGGGCACATTGCTGAGTTACACCTTCAGCCCTTTTTATTTTTTGAGACAAATTCTCACTGAATTGCCTAGGCTGCCCCTATATCCTCTATCCTCCTGCCTCAGCCTCCCAAGTAGCTGAGGGGTGTGCAATCAGGCCTGGTTTAACTTTTTGATTAAACATGGCCTTTTTTTTTGTTCATGTGCTATCTCTCCCAGTGCTTTGTGGCAACTCCTGGAACATGTAAGTACCTCATTAAATATTTGTTGAATGACTCAGAAATCAAAAGAGTTAACTGTCACTTTAGGGGCACATCTTCTGTTCCAAGCATTGGACAAACACCTGTATAGCTAATCTTCATTGCTACCCCAAAAGGCATGGGGGTGGGTGGCAGCGTTAGTTCTGCTCCGGCTGACTTTCCTGCCTTCTTGCCTGAGCTTCGAGGTTCTCATTTGGATTTAGGGCCAAAACTTCAACTAGGCCTCAGCTGGCTTTGTCTGAGTTTTCCTACACAAATATCTTTCTTAAGGGCTGCTCACAGAGGAAGACTTGATACTTCCTGTCTGTAAGTGCATTTGACAGCATCTCAATCTCAGTATCAGTCTGAATACATAGTCAACCCCAGTGACAAAGGACAAGCAGAGCCCTGGTTTCTGTAGCAGCAGTTGCTCGGTTTGTGTCTATGAATCCTGCTCCAGGGGCTGGAGGTATAGCTCAGTAACAGAGTGCACTAGGCTCTGGCTTTAATCCCCAGCACTGTAAAAATATAAATTAAGATAACTCTGCTATTTTTTTCTGAGCTTCCCTGATCAGTTTCTCTCTCAATGTTAACTATGGATTACAGTATAAGACCTTGAGAAACTTCAGGCCCTTTAAAAAACTGCTGGTGAAAGAAACTCCCAACAGATCAGGAGCATACTCTGCCCCTTGTATATGTGAGCACAGCAGACTGTATCTACTACTTGACTTGTTCTTGCAGATGCTTTGCAAGGAGTCCATGACCTGGGACTCTTGCTCACTCAGAGGCCCAGGATTCTGCCAGCTCTTACTGCAAAATATAATGTTTTAGATAACAATATTCCACCTTACTTGTATTAGTTCTTGGTCCACCAAACTGGAGTCTGAGGCTGGCATCTAGCCTGGCCCGGAAATGGAGGGGAAACATACCGCAAGTGACACACGCTTTAGCATAGAAGCACTCTAAGTTTTCTGTGAAGAGATGCTTGGCATGATGTGACTGTACATATTTGATCTCACAACAAGTCTGAGAATGTCATCTTTCCTAAATGAAAACATTTAGACAAGCATGATTTGGACTCACGCCAACATCATTTTCCGAGGCCACTACCTGGAGATGACTTCTGAGAAGAGATAGTTCTCAGTGGCAAGTGGGAGGCAGATCTGAAGGTGAAAAAGGACACCGGCGGATGGGGGAGGCTGCAGGAATAAGGCGGCATCTGTACTGAGGACAGGGGTGCTCTGTCACCTAGGGCAAAGGCTCACACAGCCACTCTCCCTACCTACTAGTACTGGGGGTTGAACCCAGGGAACACAGGGTTTTCATTTTTTGAGTTGCCCAGCCTCAACTTGTGATCCTCCTCCCTCAGCCTCCAGAACAGCTCTAATTACAGGCCCCAGCCACTGCACCTGGTCCCTGCTCAACTGTGGTTAGGATCTAGCTTTAGCGGAGAACAGGTTAAACCAAGAAGCATCACAAAAGGGCACTCTCCGCTCGTGTCCCACCTGGTGGGCTGAGCTGCCCAAAGCAGGATGTGAAGTCACCCTGGCTCTACGTTGACTCCACTTGGAGGAGGCTACTGGGCCTGACAGCTGCGGGCTTGGGGCCAGTGTGGGGTTCTGTGGCTCCACACCAGTGCTTCCTCCACCAGGGCACTTGTCACTCCCCGTGTGGCTGGTCCCACACAGGCCGGTTTCCTTTCAAGGTAAGATTCTCGAGGGAAGGACTGTCTTGGTGTCCCCAAGTTCCTGACATACGTGGAGCTCAGGAAACACTTTGAAACAGTCTTCTCTGCCCAACTTCAGCTGGCAGGCCCTAAGGCAGGGGCTGTGCACACTGAAAAATGAAGTAATTGTTACAAACAGCATATACCATAACGACCGTGTTCTTGGTCCTCTTACTTCACAGGCCTCAAAGAGGGCTGGTAATATAAGGCAGCTCAGTCCTCACTGGCTAATAGCCAGGAGACTCCGCTTTGCTGTGCAACTTCAAGGTGGCTCCTACACCTCTCTGGGTGAAGCCTCTGGTTTGTGGTCCTGAGATCTTGGCATCAATCAGCCGGTCAGCCCCCGTGGGAAGCTAGCTAGCTCTTTCCCCGCCTCGCCCTCGGGAGCGCAGACTCGGAAACTGGACCCTCCAGGGTGAGTCCAGAACCGCCGCCGGCCCACGCCCAGGCCCGAGACAGGCCTCCGCCCAGGTGGAGCGGTCGTGCGGGGAGCAGCATGCAGGCCTCCTGGCGCCCAGACAGCTCGGCCCCCGGGGCGCTTCCGTGGGACCGCGAGTTCCGGGACGCGGAGCGCTAACGAACGCGGGAGGTACCTGGTGGAGACCAGGGGTCGCGAGCGTCTCCGCCCCGAGGCGCAGACGCCCGGCCGAGCACCGCCGGCGGCGGGCGGGCAGGCGGCAGAAGCACGCCCTCTTCGCTGCAACCCGCCGCTCCCGCCCCACCAGCAGCAGGCGGTGCACACCTAGGCCCGCCTCTTCCGGCACTGCTCTGGGAGCCGCGCTCCAGCCTCACCGCCCGGCCTCGCCGGGCTCCGCCCCTAGCTGGCCCCGCCCCCAGCCCGGCTTCGCTCCTTCCGGCGCCGCTCTAGGAGCCGCCTCCCCACGTCTCGGTGGTGGCGCTCTTCCACCCCAGCCGCAGCTAGCTAGCGAGCGAAGAGCTGTCGGTCGGTCGGTTTGTTGTTCTTTTTTTTTTTTTTT